CTGAAGCTTTATAAAGAGGAGGATTTGGATCTTTCCTTATAAATTTACTTATTCTAGGAGTGTCATCTTGCTCAGGCAGGAAAGTAGGCAGCTCGTTTTCTTCTCGACGACAGATTTTTTTGTGATCCCTTTGTGGATTTGAATAGCTATGGAAAGAAAGATGAAACTCTCTGTCATTGTTTGTATTGTTTTCATATCGAAAACGATGAGCTTTAGCCATACTTTTCATGGCTTCCACTTCTTTCTGTGTAGCTGAATCCTTCCTAGGCATTCCATTGTTCCAAGAAACTAAGCCAGCAGGGCCTTCAACCATCAGAGGATCCTGGCTTGAGTTTGTGTTCTTCGATGTGCTAGATTTAGACTCCATGGCATTCATTGATATTGAATATAGAGCTCTATGTGCCATAATGGCAGCATTATCCAATGCTTCTTCATCATTTCGATATTCCGTTATCGCCCGAATTTCACATCGATCTTGAACTTTAGATGGCACTGAGGACACAGAGTATGGATCAACCACTGGACACTTTTTACTGTTCTTCTTTCTTGAACTTCTGTTTCCATCCACTTTGTAGCTGTTCCAAAGGTCCTTCATGGTCCTTTTGATTCTAGGCAGAGCATTTCCAGTTCCTAAACTAGAAACAGAGTTTTCTAACTCCCCCCTCCATGCTTGAATTTGCTTATCCACATTAGAAGACGAGGGAACCCGATCTCGATGACTGCTCTTTCCGATCCGGGGCAACCTTCTTTGCCTTTTATGACCTGAATTCCAAATATTTTCCCCCATTGTTACCAGACATTTGGAAGCATACCTCGGATCTGCCTGCGCAGACGCCTCGGGCGTCCCGTTGGAGGGATAACTTTGAACATGTTTATTAGCCTTCATATTCCCATTTTCTCCTAGTAATTCAGTCATCAGACGAATCTTTGGGGTTCTTCGACGAGGACGATTTCCAACTGTTTCAGCGCTTTCAGATGATGAAATTGTGCTTTCATTTGATTCCATGGAAGCATCTCCATTGTCTTGAAGTTTATCGGCACGACATGCTCGGTCGATGTCGACCGTACTGTCATTCTCTGATGCCACCAAGGTTAACTGTCCATTTAGATGATCTGCTGGAGTTTGCTTTCGCAGCATAATAGGAGAAAAGAGTGTACCAGTACTGTAGTCTGCAACTTCAAGTTTCTTTTCCTTTTCATCACAGCCAGAGCGTTGGCAACTCGAATTCGAGGCATTGTCAACGACTGTTCTTCCACCGATCACATCTTGTTTCGGAGCTTTCAGGGAAGCAATCGAACAGTGTCCGAGGCTGTGATAGTTATCAAAGACGAAACCTTCTGCAGCTTTATCAGAGCTATCTTGCCAACGACTTTTACGATGCTGCACATCGAAGCTCGGATCATACACAGGTGGGGCTGAGAGTATATGCTCATCCAACTTATGAATATCACCAAGATCAGAAAATGGCCAACAGCTCTTCCAATCCTTTTTGCTCATATCAGATACATAACCACTGTTACATTCATAGATTCAATAAGGAAAAGGGTAGCTACCTCACTTAGCTTGGATAAATTCATTATGATCATCAAATCTTATTGCATAATGACTCAGTTACTTTGAATAGTGAAACAACAAGCCCACTACAAACAAACCCGTCATTACGACTACAATTCACCATGTAGGAGCTTTATGTAAGAGTAGAGATTCGAACTTTTGACTTTTTGATCTATTTTAAACTCTTAACTAATTGAATTATGCTCGGGTTAAATGCACATGATATTTTCATTGTCATCTACTGATTATCACTACTCTCATTCTAAATCTCAGTTCGAATCCTACGTGGGCACTACTCGGGCATCTAGGTTCGAATTCCCTCCCTTGCAATACAATATGTTTGAGCATAAAATCCGTGAACCAAAACCTAGGAAACAACTAGATACAAAGTTTCGAGCCAACCTGAACATATATAACTGAATAATCAAGACATCTATACCTATTTCGTAATGTAATGTTCTTACTAAACAAAAATACTATGTGTTTACAGTAGCAAAGTCGTCGAAGCGTACCGTATAGAGAACCGTTCGCACTTCTGGCCATCACATTTATCATTGGAGCTAAATAGATCAATATATATGGAGTCAATTTGAATGAATTTTTCTGCAGCCTTGGAATCATCAGTCCCATGATTGTTCTCTTCCATCACATTAATACGCTAAAATTAGAATTAGGGATTTGCCACATTACAAATTTAATTCAAAATTTCAATACAAATATCCAAAACAATGCGAAAATGAGTGAATTTCGAAAGTAAAAGGTAAAAAAAAAATAGTAATAAAAAAAATCTGGTGAAAATTGAGCTGAAGTTCCTAAATATTTTAAGCTGAAACCGAATCATTATCCGTTTTTTACCGATCGAAGACTGGAAAAAAATTGAAACAGATGAAAGTAAAAAATCAGAGTAAAAAGGCGAAGATGTTACCGGCCGGAATCCATCACAAAACGGCGTCGTTTGGCGTCACCTGGGATCCAATTCTCGGCGAAACTGTGTAACGAGAAAGAGCGAGAGAGAGAGAGCATTGTTGAGACTGTAGGGATGAATTAGACACTCGCCGATGAAGAATTCAACCTCAAAGCCCTCTAGAGAGAGAGAGAGAGAGAGAGAGAGAGAGTATTTTTGTGTTTTAGAGAGAGAATCTTTGTGGGTTTATTTATTTATTTTGTTTTTTTAGGTTTTTGTGGTAAGAAAACTGCCCATGCCGGTTGCCATGTCACCTACATGAGAGAGAAAGAAGTAGGTTACGACCAATAATAATTCGCCACTTGGCTGTGAGTTGGGGTTCTTCAAAAAGAAACCCTTAAAATCGAGAGTGTTATTACACGCTCGGTTGAAGAGCGTGGGGCTTCTTTTTTAGAAATGTGCTCGTCTTATCATGGATAAAGAATAATGCCTTGGTACATAAGATGAATTTAATTGGTTCGTGTCAACACGCGAAATTGAGGCGCGTGGCTCTACAATTCAACTGTTGAAACCTTAGTTTCTTTTTTATTGTCAATTTTTTTTTAAATTGCAAATTTTAAAATTTAATTAGGATAAAATGTTGTAAGAAATATTTATCCGTGTTTTATTAAAATTTAATGCTAATTTTAACTTAATCTTTAAATTTTTTAGCACATAAATATCTCTAGCTCATTCCCATTATTTGAGTTTAAATTTGGGTCCTTAATTAAATAATTATAACCGAAGACATTTAAACTTCAATTAAGAAAAAAATAGCGATATTATTAAACTATATTTATACAATAAAAAATTAATTTAAATTAATTCCATATATGAGTATAAGAGATACTAACGTGTACATAACTAGCATATATAAAGTTGAATTATTCTTAATTCTATTCATGCATCAAATATTTAAAAAAAATATTTTTTTTTTTCAAATTTTTATTATTTTCAAACTACTTTAAAATTAAATAATTTTAAAAAGAAATAATGGGTAGGTGAATTTTTAAAAAAATTTAATAACAAAATTATTTTTAAGCCAAACTTAAATATTTAATGTAGTGATGATTTAAACAACCTATTAATTGTATATCTAAAATTAAACTCGTACTTTTATACCCATTCTAGGGTATAAAATTAATTAAGTGGACTTTTACTAATTAATACATTAGAACAATTTAATATTTGAACTAAATAAATTAATATTTTCTCAAATAGGTACGAATTTCTTTATTAGTTAAAATTTTAAAATTACAAAAAAGAGTAGAAATTTTATACAAAATATCGATATTTTTTAATTAAAGAAAATTATTATAGAAATCAATAGGTATATAACTAAACGTTTATGTTACACATTTGTTAGATAGAAAATTAAATTAGCTAAATGTTAAATTACTACGTTTGTTCTCGGATTATTTACAAAATTTCAATTTGAATCTTATGATTTAAATTTAATTTTAAATTAACTATACTATGATTTTAAAATTTATAATTTAGTATTAGTTTGATTAAACCCTACCTAACTTATCGAAGAGGTGATAATGAACTATTATTTTCTATTTAAATGTTAGTTAATTAGTTATTAATTTTTAATTAATTAACTCTTAATTAGTATTTTCCTTATATTTAGTAATTTACTGACTTTATTGTAAGGCTATAATGAGTGGTAGATGTGATTATGTTATAAATTTATGAGAGGAGACAAGTTTAAATCTCCACCTCTATTATTTATTTTTAAGAATTTTGTGGTATAATTATTTTATTACAGATAAATTTAAACCTAATTTATTTAAAAAAGGCGGATGTCGAAGCAACTTGATTGACAGGGAGAGACTTTCACATTTTTTTTATTTGGCATAATCTATCTTGTCGAGAGGGACCATTAATTTAATTATTTTTATAACATGTATTTTTTAAAAAAAGTTTTGTTAAATTAAATAACTTGGTATATAAATTTAAACAATTAAATTATAATAAATTGATGTTAAATACCAATATAAAAATAATTGAAATTATATGTTCATTTTGGTTATTATGTAATTAACTTCACAAGTAAAGACCTAACAGATCAAAATTACAAAACTCATACTGATAATCTAAATTTGTTATTAATGAAGTTACAACAATAATAAAAAATAATAGAAAATTAATAAAATGTAGTTTAAATTACAATTTATTTCCGTACTTAAAATTGTATTTATTTGGTATTTAGTTTTTTATTTTCAAAATATAAGCTAATAAATTTATTTGTTTTACAATCTACTTTTTACAAATATTTAAAAAAATCTAAATTAAATTGTGAAACCAAACAAATAGAAAAATAATTTTTTTTAAAAAAAATTAGGTAAAGATTTAAATATATAATTTATATTTGGGACAAAATCCAATTTATTTCCAACATTGATTAAAACACCCCTATTTTAATCAGCACCTTTAACAATACATTATTTTCGACATAATTTTTTCTGAAAAAAGGATACATTAAATTAATTCAAAAGAAATCTAAAAAAAAGTAAAATTTATTCTAGTGAATAAAAAAGAAGAGAAAGCACACAGAAGTTGGAATGTGGTGTTACTTTACATCAGATGTCTGGATTGTCAAATTTGTTGTTTTGTGACCAATTTCAACACATTTTTGTAGTCTCCTTAAGAAGCCACAGAAAGACATCAGCCCTTTTTGGGCATTGCAGCAAGCCTTGTGTACATCCTTGCCATGGATTGATATCCTCGAACATCGCCCGAACGCAGAAGATTTCCTATAAACACCCATGCAATCAATTAGAAGATTAGAAGGTCAATAGCAAGCGCCTCTCGAAAATGCATTACTTTATATGTGAGTTTCATATCGAAAAAGTTCATGAAACCGAGCAACAAGGATCAATCAGTAATAGTGTTTATAAGTTCAATTTTTTCATAACTCCTAAGAAAAAAACCTAAACCTAGTTACCACAGTTACTCTGTTAGGTCTTTCGTTCTGAAGCTGGCCCGTAATAGACCTATTTACCTTGCTATTGGATCATCAGTAATGCAAAGAATAGATCCCTAATATCTCGTTGACTATAAAATGTTATCAGTCGATTCAATTTCAAAATATATAACTGAACATTAGTTGATCGACTTAGTTCAGTCTTAGTGGGTTCGTATTATTTTCTTAAATCGATGGGTTAGTTTACATCAGTGTTGGCCAAGACCCAGGCCAACCCAACCCACCAAAACCTTCTAGCTTGGAGGGAATGCTCCAAAAAAGAAATTTTAGAATAACGAACTCCCAAAAATTCAGTTGCCCACCAGAACCAGTTTTATCACTTCATCAAACAGATCCCAGTAAATAAACATGTAAATCAGAAAAATTCATCATAAGGAATCCATGTAAACTCACCAGAATCACAGTTTAGTGGGCTATCAGGTTCGGGATGAGCCATCAAAGCAATTATAGCCCTACAAACAGACTGCAGAGTCCATGCTGGGCTCCATGCGTTCTTCAGTATATCGAGGCAGATCTCGCCCGTCTGCAGGAAGGTACAAAGACAAATGTAAAGTATGGTTCAACAACTGAAAACTTACATGTTGCCGTTATCAGATTTCACTCATATGGATGAAGAAACCCACAAAATATGTCCAACACTTTGAATCCTCTCCATAAAAAACGAGTGCGTCTAGCTTCCTACTCCCAATCCCATCTCGAATTTGACGGAGAGGACATCATCAAACTCACCCGTAAAAATATTCCCCCTAATTGCAACTCCACCTTGTCTATAGGGTTCTTCAACTTTTGATGCACTCCAATTCGACCCGGTGGATTGTCACTAGGGTTTTCAACCTCACATCCGTCATTTCATGACAATTAGTTAAACTCATCTCCAAACCTGAACACCACACCGGTTGTTTCATTAAATTGATTCATTTCGTCGTTGCACCTCCCCAGAATCCATAAGATTTTTTTTTATATCTTTTATAGATCCATGAGTGTACGGGCCAGCTTGCATGTACCTCGACTGTTCTAAAAGGACAACCATCTGACCCCACTACATTTTGTCGTCAAAGTAACTGATAGTATATTAAATTCTAGGTAGGAGGCCATCACCGCTTGAAAAATCCATAGGATCATTTGAAAGTCCACACCACTAAATTTCTTTCCTTATTTCTCTCTCGTGCCTGTATACTGCCTTCCATATATTTTCTTCCTACTCAACTCACCCTCATGCATGGAGGCTCAACATTTCTTTGTTTAATTAAGAAAGACCTAAATCCTGCTGCTAACTACTATCCCTTGGACAGCGGTACCCCCTCCTTAGCGTTTTCCTTTCCTCCCCAATGATCGCCTCCTTATAATCCCTATCACAATCTTGTTGGTGGAAAATTAGTCGGATCTAATACAGATTATTTTGAGTCAAGATATTATGGGATATAATGCAGCTATTAGCCAACTATAGTTAATAATATTAACCATCGCGACAGAAGGGCTCAGAGTCAACCCACGATTTAGAAAGAAGATCAAGTTGACTTCTACCTTGAAATGAACGTTTGGATGAAAAATTTTCGTTAAGAACCGCACTTGAGGAGGTTGCAAAGGATATTGCTCAGGCACCGAAAAGGCAAGCTGAAAAACACCGCCCTCAAAAGGAGTCTCTGACGGTCCCTAAATATAATGCATATCAATCACCGTAAGAAACAACTCTTAACTCAGTTTTATATCGGGATCATCGAGAGCATTACCTTGATTAGGGCTGTCCATTTAAAAATATTGGAATCGTCACAAACCAACTGAATATCCGGATCTGCTACCTTTTCTCTTTGAACCTCTTTGTACTCCTTGAACAACCTTGCTCTTGAGGCCTACAAAACCGCAACATAAATTCTCGATGCAGTTCCAAGTAAAAAGAACAGTCAATAAATTTCTGAAAGTTAATATCTATTTGCAACTTAAAAAAAATGCAGATGAATCCAAAAATATAAAAGCTTTGAAGAAAACCCAAATACTGCATACTGTTATTGATCACCACTAAACAGAGACTTATGTACTTTCCATAAGGGAATGAGAAAGAAAGAATCAGCAGAAGTTCAGACATGGAATGAAATCAAACTTGAACGGCTCAAGGCTATGATTGACTCGAGGTAGGGGTCGCAGTGCTATGGATAAGGATAAAGTTTTGTGGCAGACTTGTTTCTTTGTTGTAATATGGAGAATTCGGTTTGAGAGAAACAGTAAATTTTAGGGATGTGGAGAGATTGTGGGAGTGGGAGGAGGTCTGGTCGTTTGCTAGGTTTTTAATGTATACTTGTGGTCATCTGCTACCTAAGCCTTTTGTAATTATAAGATTGGTTAGATCCTTTTAGATTGGAATCTTTTTTCAATAGTTAATATAACAACTCAAGCTCATCACTAGCAGATATTGTTCTCTTTGGACTTTCTCTCAAGGTTTTAAAACACGTCTGATAGGGAGAGGTTTTGACACCCTTATAAAAAATGTTTCGTTCCCCTCTCCAACCAAATATGAGATCTCACAATCTACCCCCTTGAGGGCCCAACGTCCTCGTTAGCACACCGCCCGATGTCTGACTTTAATGCCATTTGTAATAGCTCAAGTCCACCACTAGCGAATATTGTCCTCTTTGGGCTTTCCCTTCCGGACTTCCCCTCAAAGTTTTAAAACGCACCTACTAGGAAGAGGTTTCAACACCATAATAAGGAATGCTTTGTTCTCCTCTCCAACCAATGTGGGATCTCACAGTTAATGGGTGGACTCCTTTTTTGCAGGATTTGGTTTTTTGTATGTCGTGGTACATTTTTTCATTTTTCTAAAAAGCTCGATTTCTTACCCCAAAAAAAATATAAAATCTGAATGGCCAAGATAAATTTCAATGAAACCACAAGGAAAAATGCGTAACTTGATAGGTTTTGACAATGTTACATTACAGATGACGAGAGAAGTTTCGAACCTACCGCTCATAAAGTAGATACTAATACACAACACTCAAACTGCGCTCATATTGACATTTATCTTTGCAGGATTATAAGTTCAAAACAAATATCCACAAGATAAAGAAAAAACCGTCACAAAACGAAATGGAAGACCGATCAATTACAAAGTTAGTAGTTCTACACATTGTCAGTTAATATATACTCGAAACATAGAAAATCGTCCATTAACAAAATGAACTCAACTCCCGCACGTTCTCATAGCTAATTCTAGTCGCTTACCTGCATTATAGATGCTTGCAGACGACACAAGCAGCTTCAAGCCTAGAATTCTCAAATCTCAAACCAACACAATTACCGGCAGAAAAACTGCAATCGGTTCAAGAAACTCTACAAAAGAATGAACTATCATGAGTAAAATCATAAGGATTTGTTGTATCCATAATATATCAAACCCTAGAGAAGAAACCGCGGAGGAAAACAAAAAGAAAAGAAATGGAAATTGATAGATTAGGGAATTTCTTCTGGAGAAACAAGAGAAAGACAAATTGACAGAAATCGATGGCAAATATGATCATTTACCAGCAGAATAATCGCGAATTCGAACAAATCGGAAATTGTGTAAAACAGAACAATAGAAACACTTACAATCACCAACACGATCGATTCGTCGTCCACAAACCAGGTCGAGGTAATTCTAATTCGGAGATGCGCGAAGGGCGAAGCGCCGAAGCCTTAATCGGAGAGGATATCTATGGAAAGTGCTTTGCGGTGTATCGTATCAGCAACCTTTCACGACTGGGCGTCTTCCTTTATCCGTTGGACTCCTGCTGCCGAATCTCGGGAATTGAGATTTTACTTTTCCAGTTTTTTTTTTTTTTTTTTTACTCAATTTTCCATTATATATA